TGTCAGGCACACGCCGCAGCTGCTGCTGCTGGGTTGTGTAACGGAGGAGCGCACTTGCTCTTGAACTCAAGGTGGATCTCAGCACGCCGGTGCTGGCTCGACAGGAATCCGAATAAACAACAACAACAAAAAAGAAATAATAATCTAAAGCTGGGAGAGCATTAGCTGGGAAACGGCTTTGTTGCTCTGAAGGCGAAGGGTGACTCTGCGCAGCGGCGGAGCAGCTGGGGTCCCTGCGCTGGGTGCTCCTGAGCACCAGTTTCCCACTGGGAGGAGAGAGTGCGGCTGCACATCTAGAGATGAGATGCCGATGGGGAGCTTGAGATACGGAGCTCCAGCTGGGATCCTGGAGGTCAGTCGGGAATGGCGGGTATAGAGGGAAGAGGGGGGAAAGAAAATGAGTGATGTAAAGGTGTGGGGAAATACACCGGCAATTTTGCGAAATGAAGCTGAGACTCTGAGCAAATGTGTATATGTCTCTTGTGCACGCGTGTGTTCAAACCTCTGCGTGCGCTGCTCGGATGATCAAACGAGCCACGAGACAAAATTCCCCTTCGCTCGTGAGCTGGCAGGATGCTCCCTCAGCCACCGGCCAGTGTCTCTTCATCTGACGTCTTCATCTTCAAAATTTTGGGCAGCTCCTTTTGGCCCCACGAGGAGTTAAAACGTCTTTCCCGCCCCATGGCAGCTCGTTCAGAGCACTAACTGCTGGTGCAGCAAACCCAAATCTGCCTGGCTGCTTGGTTTTCGAGCAATAGGCGTTGCGTAAGGCTGGAGTTGGCTGTGGTTTCCCTTGCTTGGTGCAGGCTTTGCCTCTCTGCTGGCTGCCGCAAGGTAGTCCCCACCATCTCCCCTGATGCCTTTGCCTTGAACGGCATGATGTTGCCTTGCTTTGATTTGGGGTTTTGGGGAGCCTGATGGGGGGGAATTTCATATGCTTGGCGCAAAACCGTGGCCGCCGGGGATGCTTGTGAGCTCTGGGCGGCGACGCCTGCGGGGATAGCTGCTGGGTTTTTCTTCATGGGGACCAGATGTGCCGGTCGGTTGGTGCTGCTGTTTTGGCACGCTCGGCTGCCTGCATTTTGCTCTTGAGACGTAGTAAAGGGACTGCTGAGCCCTGGACTCTCGGTTTCACGGACCCCGAGCCAGCTGCAATAGCTGGTCGCGTTGCAAGAAGCAGAAACTTGCTTTACTCTTAGATACTCTCTTCACAGACAACTTTTTTTGGAGTAACTTGATCCTTTTTAAAGCGTACAGAGCAGGAGATGGGCTCGTCCTGTCTTCAGAGTGACCGTAAAACTTCCAGACTGGTTTATTTGTCTTTCTGGGTTTGTTTTAGATTTTTTTTTTTTTCTTCCTCTCCTTTAATGTCGCAAGCGACTTCCCGGTGCTGGTCGGCGGCGGGTGCAGCTGACCTTCGGGAAGGGTGGCGGGCTGTGCAGCCCGTTCCCGAACTGTGCCAAGCCATTGCCATGGAGCCAGCTGCCATTTCCACCAAATTCGGCTGATTTGGCTCGGAAACTGTTCCCAGAGTATCACTTTAGCACCGTCGGTCCTTGCTCGCTTACAGCTCTCTGCTCCTGCTCTTCTCTACCGGGGTCGTGCCCTGCATTTTGCTGGCTTTTGCCTTTTATTTTATTGTATTTTCGTTATTTTTTTTAGTTTTATCGCTGCCTCCCCGCAAAGCTGGCAGTGGGGCATCGCTGTATGCAACCCGAGACATTGAGTGTCTCGAGATGTCACCCCGTTTCAGGTCACAAATGCCTGTTGAGCCACCAACTTTCTGCTGGCGCGTTGGCTCACCGAGTGGGTTTGGGTCCTGACTGAGCCGCTGTGTCCCTTCCACGTCCCCATGCAGGTGCCCGGGAAGCTTGTGGCCCTCTAAAAGCTGTTTATTTTGCAAATTGCCCATCGAGTCTGTCCTGCAGCGTGCAGTTATTTAAGAGGGTGGTGGAGGCACGGTGTAGATGTGACCGTGAAGATGGAATCATCAGTCTGGATGGTGGTAAGGTGGCTCATACCCATGTCAGCTGTGGGGTCCTGCTGGCTCGAGGGTTTGTTTGCAGCCAAGCATGAAGGTTCCCTTGTCCAAGCTGTTTCCCCGATGAGGTAAAATGAGAGTGTTTCTCAGCCTGATCCGCTTTCCTTGTACCATAAAACCTCCGCGTGTTGGAGTAGGTGCATGTGGCCTGGGAATGCCTTTGCCCGTGTGGTGCCGGGCGTCAATGCAGAGCTGGGGATGCTCTTCGGGACCACAGCCACCCTGTCCCGCTTGACCCTTTTGGCTTCAGTGTCAAGAGCTGCTCCTGCATTGGGCACAGAGAGTGGCACTGAAACTGCTTGAAACGAGATCTGCTCGTTCGTGTTGTCTTGCACCAATTCCCTTTCTCTGTGTTTTTTTTGTTACCCTATACACTTTCTTTGGTAGTGGAGTAATGGACTGAAATGCAGTGGCTCAGCAGAGCTCACTTCATTATTTTGTTGCTTTTGCCGTTGAGACTGGGCATATCAGCCAGAAGGGTCTGGTTTTGCGTGCTGCTGGGCACTCTGGAGGATGAGGGACCAAACCAGCAGACACCCCTTTTGGTTGAAGGTGTCCTCCTGCTCCTGACCTTCTCTTTCAGGACCTTCTCTTTCGCAAAACCTGAGCAGCTGGATGTTTTTAGGGACCAGAAACACCCATCTGATTAAATAGCGGATGCTCAACGCTGATTAGCCTTCCCCCACCGGGACTTGCTGTTGTCCCTAAGCTTGGAAGCGCATGCGCAGCTGAAGATGTGGAGATGTTCATAAGCGCCAGTGCTGCTTTGCTTGAGATAGGGTTTAAACAAACAAACCCCAAACCTGGCACTGTTATGGTAGCGCGGATCCCACTGACTTTAGTTACTGGGAGGAGCGATGGAAAGATGCTGGAGATGGGAGGAGAAGGGAGGGCAGGATGGGACCCGTGGCACGTGCTCGTAGTGGGGTTGTCGGTGGGTTTCCTGAGGTCTGGCTAGACGCAGAGGGAGAAATCGGGACCAGAGCTGGCGGCAATGCGGCTCATCATCCCTGGCGAGGCAGGAGAGCCGCTGCCTGTCCCGACGCCCCGTCAGCGACACGGGGAAGAGGATGAGTAACACAGGTGACCCCCCACGCAACCTGGGGAGGCCGGATCCTGCCGTGTCTGGTTTGCTAATTCGGGGTTGCGTCATGAAGATTACGGGCGGGCAGGTTTCCTTAGCGCCAGCTAAGCGCTTTGTGAAATCATGTCTTAGGGGAGGGGAAAAAAAATAAGATGCACCCTGTGAGCCTATGCTGCCTGCCAGGGCAGCCCCGCTTTTTGTTTTAATTTGACGTGCCGTAATTAGCCTGGCCGCTGCAGGATCCTTGTCAACTCCTGTGGGCTTGCCTGCTTCTGCCTGCTCTGTAATTGCTGCTTCAGGAGAGGGAGGAAAAAAAAAAATTAGAAAAAAATGAAGCGTTTTGTACAAATCGTGAGCCGTAAATTATTTAGCAGGTGAAAGAGAAATGTGCTGTGTGTTTCCAGGAAGCGAGAGACTGCACCAAAAATGACGCGGCGCGGCTTGCGGCTCTGCTGCGATGTGCCTTCTGCAGAGTCATGTTGTTGGGGGAGGCTTTTCTTTTTTTTTTTTTTTTTTTTTTTTTTCCTTCCCTCTCCTTGCTTCTGAATGGGTTCTTGCTGGCTGATAGCCCAGAATAGGTAGCAGAGCGAGAGGCGAGGGCTTGTATAAGGTAGCCAAGTGATTTATGTGCCTGGCTGCGCTGTTGAAAAGCATTAGGGTCTCTGGTCTTTTTACCTTTGGTGTAGCAAAGCACCTTTGGAAATTCAAGGTAACATTGGCTCGTTCCTCTCTCCCTCACTCAGCCTACAGTGGTTTGAAAGCTTGGTGGGGTTTTTTTTGTTTTTTTTTTCTCTCTATTGCTTTGCATGCTGTGTGAGGTTGTGTCAGCCTTTCTTTTGATACACCTTTTGTTCTTGGTGTCTTATCTCTGCTGGCATAACTGACATAAAATCCATGGACCAGAGGTCTTCTGGAGGAAGTGGAGGTCCTGTTTGGGAGATGGAGCTCCTCTTGGAGGTGGACCGGCCTCAATGCAAAGGAATGGGATGAGGGGTAATGGCTTTAAACTAGAAGAGGTTAAATTTAGATTAGATATCAGGAAGAAATTTTTCACTCTGAGGGTGGTGAGGCACTGGCGCAGGTTTCCCAGAGAAGCTGTGGCTGCCCCATCCCTGGAGGTGTTCCAGGCCAGGTTGGATGGGGCTTTGAGCAACCTGGTCTAGTGGGAGGTGTCCCTGCCCATGGCAGGGGGGTTGGAACTGGATGATCTCCAAGGTCCCTTCCAACCCAAACCATTCTGTGAATTCAGGGAATAAAGCCCTGGGATTGGAAATAGGTGGAGATAAACAGATTTGTAGCCACCATCTAGCCAAGCCCAGCTGGGTGCCGTTCACTGTCTAAAAACTGGAGACCTTTTACCTGTATCTGATGCAATGAGGAACTGAGTTACAACAGAGCTCCTCAAAGGGCTTAAAAATAGCATCGGGTTTTCTTTCCTGTTGCTAATGCATCTGGTTTAAAGTGGCTTCAGATGTGGTTGGAGGCTGGAAGCAGAACATCCCTTGCGGTCTCACCAAACCCTACGTTTGCTCAAGGTCATAAAATCTCATGGAAGGGCAGAGGGGCTGAGAAATAGTCCGGTAGTGCCGGCTAGCCCGGATTGCATCCCTGTTCGTGTTATTTAGAAAGGTAATTATTTGAACAAGCACAGATGAATAAATACAGAGGCGGAAAGTTTTACAGGTCAGAGCTACCACCTGCATGTGTTTTCTGTCTTCTCGGCAAGCACCTGGCTCGTGCTGGAGCCTCTCAGCCTTGAAAGGCAAAGCTGGTCTGAATTCTCCTGGGGTGGCCAGGTAGCACGTACTGCTGAAACACAATTAGCAGTATTTACCGCCCTGGCAGGGTTACGGTGTAAATGATGCTTAGTCTTACCGAGAAGCATGGTGTCAAATTTAAGGAATTATAATCGTAGCTGGCGATGAGTCCAGAGAGCGTGCTGCCATCTGCACCGCTTCTCTTCCACCCTGACCTCGCTTGAGCTCCTTCCCCTGCGTGTAGAAACATCTCTGTGGTCCTATGGCTCCGGGATGTGCTTTGTGGTCCTGCAAGGGATCGCTGGCAGAGAGGGCACTGTTCACGCGCTGTTGTTGACTAATCCTTCCCGTCTGTCTTCCAGCTGCTCGTGCTCCTTGGCACCGCTGATGGTCAGTCGAAGCTGACCTCCGAGCAGAATGCCATCAGCCTCTCCCCTGGCAAGTACCGCCACCTCGACCGTGCCACCAACAAAGAGCTGATCTGCGACAAATGTCCCGCAGGAACCTATGTGTCTAAGCATTGTACGAAGAGTACCTTAAGAGAGTGCAGCCCTTGTCCAGATGGGACCTTTACCAAGCATGAGAATGGCATAGAGCGGTGCCACCCTTGCAGAAAACCCTGTGAACTGCCAATGATTGAGAAAACTCATTGTACTGCCTTGACTGACCGCGAGTGCACTTGCCTGTCTGGTACGTTTCAGACGAACGATACCTGCGTCCCTTACACGGTGTGCCCGGTCGGCTGGGGCGTCCGCAAGAAAGGAACTGAGACGGAAGACGTTAGGTGCAAGCCGTGCCCTCGTGGTACCTTTTCTGATGTGCCTTCTAGTGTGATGAAGTGCAAAACATACACTGACTGCTTTGGGAAAAACATGGTGGTCATCAAACCAGGGACAAAGGAGAGTGACAACGTCTGTGGTTCTCCAGCGTCTCTTCCAAACACGTCTTTGACTTCGTCAAGCACCGAAGTGGGTGAAGAGCCCTATGAAGTTCCACCAACCGCTCATCTTCCCAAAGGTAGTGTCCACCACTGAAACACAGACATGTTTTTGGTCATGCGATTGCGTTCCTGCCTCAGTCAAGGCTGGTTTTAGACTGTTAAAGGGCAGCCTGGTCTAAAGCGTGGATGGTGCTTTTGCTTCATGGCCAGAAGGCAGCTCCAGGTTGCCCTCAGTTGTATCAAACCATGTTTAATAACATTTTCACTGAGACTGCAGTCGTGATTGGGCTCCTGGCTGTCCTACTGTTTGGTCTGAAAAGGCATCACGTTCCCCAGCCTTTCTTCCCATCTGTGTGTTGTGCTGGCATGAGTCTTTGTGCGTTTGTGGCAAACCTGAGCGGAGTGCAGCAGGAAAACCCTGGCAGGAGAGCAGCGTTGCTCCACCAGACTGCTCCCCTGATGGATTCACTGCTTTCGTGCCTGTGCTTTCTGTGCTGCGTTTTGACCTGTGCTGAGTCAGCTCATTGGCTTGAATGGGATCCATTCCCAAAGCAGCCCTCCAGGAGCCTAGGCTGTGCTGTAAATTTTTTTCTTTAACGTTTCTATTAGTTCTCACTGGTGGGGAGAACCAGGTTGAATTCCCCATTCTCTCATTTAATTGAAATTATATATCATTGCAGTCTTTAGGGAGATGCTTCAGCCGTGACTGGTTGCAGTGGTGCTGTAGAACCCCATTTGAGGTGGTGCTTAACACTCTCTGGGAAGCATCCTACTTACAGTGTCTCGGATGGGGCATTTTAATTAAAAAAATGCAACTTTTGGTGGCCTGACTATCTGAGTTGGTGAATACAATAGCAGGGGAGTGTTGACAGTGGTAGACTCCCAGTGCTTCTCCTTTTTTCAGTCTCGAAGCTTGATATGATGTTGGTGTGTCATTGGGAGAGGATGGGAGGGTGTTCCCTGTACTTTGAAATCAACTGTAGACAATTAGGTAAAAGTTAAAGCATTTTTGCTGTTTGTATCCTGGTTAGTGTTTTGGGTAACCAAGTCAGAGGCAAAATTAGGTTACCGGTGGTTACACCCACTCTCTGGCTCAACGCCGGTGAAACATGATCTTCAAAAGCCGAGTTTCCAAAGTAAGCTCTGGTTTTTGCCACAAAAGCCCTCCCTGCCTCTTCTCACCAGACTTTGGTCATGCAGCAGGCCAGGACCTGAGAGCTGTTGGTTGATAAGAAAACTCAGTAACGATGGAAAGTAGCTCTTAGGGGGAAGTTGGTTTGCTTCTGTTGCTTTGGAAACGTATTTTGTACTTGATGCATGCACAGCTGCTTGCAGTACTGATGAAGTTTGTGGTTCCTTAACAAAACCTGGTAGGTAGATACTAAGCCTCCAAATTTTCATGTGTTTCTAGCCCAAATACCACATTTGGAATGAAACTCATGTTCATAAATCTAAGAAACCTCAAAGTTGTAGATTTTCTGAGAAGTACTGAACGTGGGACAAACACAGATTGACAGCATGCCTTTAATCACTTGGGTTTTTGGTTTTGTTCTTGTTTTTATTAAAACTAACTGCCACTAGCCTTAACCTACAAGGGTCAGTTTTATCTTTAACATACCTCTGTAACCGTACCCATCTGTTCCCAGAGCCAAACCTCAACTTCACCCCTTCCCTCCCTCACTGCCTGGCATTGGGTTTCTGTCTGCTGGCCAAGCAGATGCTCAGGCAGGTCTTGGACTGTGACATGATGCCGTATCCCGTCTCCGGTGCTGTGACACTGAGCTGTCTTCTCCTTTCACAGGTCTGAACTCTTCAGTTCCTGATTTTGTCCCCTCTCCTGTGCCACACATATCCAGTAGCACAGCAGGCCCAGCGGGCTACTACAACGAAACCTCGGCCAACGAGACGGACGGCACTGGTGGGACCTTTGTGGGCTCCAGCACTGCTGGCCAGGCACAGAGCTACCGGCACAAGCAGACCAGCCAGGCGCTGGAGAAGCAGCCATCGCTGGAGATGTCAGGGGGCGAGAAGTCCAACGTCCCGTACAGGCCACCCCGGCGAGGTCAGCAGAATGTCCACCAGCACTTTGACATCAATGAACACTTGCCGTGGATGATTGTCCTCTTCCTGCTGCTGGTCCTGGTGGTTATTGTCGTCTGCAGCGTCAGGAAGAGCTCACGAACTCTGAAGAAGGGACCCAGGCAAGATCCCAGTGCCATTGTGGAAAAAGCTATTATGAAAAAGTCCACCACCCCCACGCAGAACAGGGAGAAGTGGATCTATTACTGCAACGGGCACGGTGAGCAGTAGTGACCAGGGGCTGTATGGGGTAGCGTCCTCTTTGCCATCCCACTCGGTGCTTTGGAGGGGCCACCACCACATCTGGTGCCCAGTTGCTTTTCTGACTTGCTGGCAAGGACAAAGCCCATATACTGTTTCCTCAGATTTTTCTCCATCCTCGGCTTCTTCCCATCCCTGTTGCCATGGTGTGTCCCTGCTCCTGAAGGAACAGTTAATGGAGGGAATGTCATCTGCTTGCCCCAGCTCCTCTCCTTCCCACCCATCCTTGGTAGAAGGCTCTTGAATGAAGACTCCCCCCCCCCCCTCGCCCCCCCCCTTCCCTTTCCACTTTTGTGTTTCACTCTCTCCTTATTTTCTTGGTCACTCAGACGTGAGTCCGGTTGTCTTTCGTGTCATCTTTTTTCCTCACCCTGTCTGTTTCTGGAAGGCTGAGTCATCCCCCGCCTCTTGGCAGTCTCAATTTCAGGTTCTTAGCCCTAAATCCCGACTGCTGGCTTGTGTCCCCAACCCTTCGCCCATGCTGGAGCCGGGAAGGTTGTCCTTAAGGGCTGTGTGGTGGAGGTGTATAGCTCCATGAGTGTCATGGGTCTTCTGGGAGGCTCTGCTTCGTAGCGTTTTCTGTTCTTTTGGTGGATGACTTGCTGTCAGCTTTTTGATGAGACTTTAAAGATGACCCATTGTGGTCGTTAAATTGAAATTGGTAAAAAATCAATGATAAATTAATGGTGTCACGAATGTTGAGTGCCACGCAGCCGTGATCTCCCTAGTAGGATACATGGTTCTTCCTCTGCAAAGCTGTGGTGGCAATTCTGACCCTCCTGTTCCTGTGCAGACAGACAACATTGACAAGTCCTTACTTTGGGTTGAGGTTGCTCAACCTTAAACACCTCTTCACAGTTAAACTTTAGAAAAGCACATTTAACAGGGGGGAGCCAAACAAAGAATAGATTGAAAAAAAGATTGGAAGGTTTAAGGGAGATCAGTGCTTGATGCAAGTCATCCTTGAGTGCTTAAGTACAAAGCAAAGAAGGCTTTGAGTAGGGCGTCTTCTGTCATGTACTCTCTTCTTCCTGCTGCTTAATAGACCTACGCTTTGTTTGCCTTCGTTAATGCATTTATAGAACCAGTAAGGTCTTGTTGGAATTAGTTTTGCGCCTTCTCTTGTGTTTGTGCTACTTATTGGTTCCCATTTAACTCTTGAATCCTTGGGGTGTGGTTGCTTGAGCTTTTTTCTCTTGGTGATAACTTTTCCAGTAACCCCCATGCTCCATTGTCCCTAAAATCTGTGGTACCCAAAGCTTGGTCCTTGGGGTGATGGTGAGTGATCTGCAGTGGGGTTGCAGAACCTTATTAAACATCTTTATTTGTGGGCACTACCAGAAGTACTACATGGCTTTGGCCATGGTTCATTGGCCAAAAGCAGCTGATTGTTACTAACTTGTGGTAACTTTTTTCCCCATGGCCTTAATTACCAGTTGATTGAATTTCTCACTTTCCTATTTTTTTTTTTGGAGCAGCGAGTGTTGTTAGAGCAGGGAGCTGAATTTGAACAGGGTGGGGAGTGATCAAATGCAGGGACCAGACCAAGTTGCTCTGAGCAGATGCAGCTCTGGTTTCGAACCTGGTGTTTCAAACCCTGTGCCGCAGCTGCCCCTTCTCCTGGAGGCCATGTTAGAGCTGCCGTTGTGAGCTGTGCATTTGGTCACCAGGCATGATTCGGGTTGAAGAAACCATGCAGGTAAGAGAAGGTGATACGTGGTGAGCAGTGAGGCTATGTTAGCCCACTTAGGTATCACCCCACCTCCCAGATCCTGTCATCCTTTGTGGGACAGCATCATTCATGGGTCATCACAGGCTTCCTAAGATGGGTTGTTTTGGTCTTCTCTGTCATCCTTTAACAGTTGAATTCAGCTAGTACATCACATTTACAAGACAGTTGCTAAGTTTTCCTCTTGTCTTGGGAAATAAGCTGGTTGTAACAGCAAAAACCACACTTAGTGATAAACTGACCCAGTATCTGATCAAGCTGCTCAGGTCTGGAGGTGAATCGTCTTGTTACTCTGGGCTCCTGGCTGGGTGGTTTTGCACATCCCAGTCATTCTTTCAGTAGTCAGCACTAGTTCCATGTTGGCATGGGTGGCTTCATGACTCCCTCCTGCTACTGAATGTCCCCAGTTGAACTTTGTGCAGTGAAGGCAGACAGATGAGCACAAACCAATTAATGCTTTGTCTTACTTTTAGTGCAGCTCTGGTGTTGTCTCAGTCATGTTGCGTTAGTTGGACAGGCCTTGTTCATTAGTTCTTCACTTGGTGGTGTTGCTCAGTCATGTCAGATATGGAAATTGTTCTCCTCCGCAGTGATGTATAAATCCCTCTTTGGTTTTCCTATTGAAACGTCTGGCTCTTAAGGCTGTTTACTTGAAACAAGAGAAGATGTAGTGCCGTAGAGGAACTGACCTTTTATTTAATAACTGGCTGTACAGCTGGGATGTACTGCAGAGCTGCAGCGTCATGGCTTAGCTTTCTGCTGCTTCGGCAGTGTTTATACCCAGATCATGCTTCATCCTGAAGCAGCATTTCAGACAAGGGTGAATTCAGCCAGGAACAAGCTTCAGGCTGTTGCAGAGAGGAAATCTTTCCCCTCCTGTGCTGTTAGCGCAGATCCCTCCATGGCAGGCCACCAGAGCAAGGCCTCCATAGATGCGAGGACCATAGCTGCTCCCCAGGTCTTCAGGTGGCAGCCTGGTTTGTGGTTGCACTAGGGATATGGAGGGCAAGCAATTGGGCTTAAATTGTCTTATGGGGCTGCGAGTGAAGCTCTGGGCTCTGGTGCTGGTGGTGTGCCGACATCCGTATGACGTCCCCACCTATCCGTTGACTGGCTATGCCAACAAGGAGTTGGGGCGTGTTTATGGCCGGGGCGAAGCCTGCGTGCGTAGCTGTTGCGCACAGTCTCCCCCTGCTTCCTCCTAGTTTACCATCTCCTCCCTCCTAATCCTTTCAGTAAACAGCTTTAACCTTTGAAAGGGAAGACCGGGTCTGACGTAGGTGCTGCAGCCTCTGCTCGGAGGAGCTGTGCTTGGGTGGCTGCCCTTGTGCCGGCACCCCGTGCGCCTCCTGTGCTGACGGGAGCACAGATGGCATCCAAGGCTCTGCCCCTTTGGAGGATTTTATTGTCGATTTTTATTACAGGTTTGTTTAAGCCCATCAATTCTGGGTGAAGCACGGTCAGGGTGGCACCAGCACTGCTCAGTTCTGGAACAAAGACATCTTGCTGTGATTGGGCTTCTTCCCAAAATAGGAGGATTTTAGGGTGGAAGCAGGTGCTCAAACTCTTGCCCGGTTCCCAGTGGTGCTTGATATACTGAATTACTTAAATACTTGAGATACATGTGCAGTCCTGGGCAGCGGTTGTTGTTGTGGGGCAGTTCACTTGTCCTCATCTTCCCGTGAGCTGGTGTCTATGCCCCATGCTCGCTCCAGTCATAATACGTGCCTTAAATAACAACCCAAACCTAAATTTAGCAGTAGCTTGGGAGACTGGTGTGGAAACAAGACCCGTGTCCTTAACATGGACATGTTCCAGCCAGGACGGCAAATGCCGATGATTCTCACTGGATTAAATGGTTCAGAGGTCTGGGAAGAACTTGCGATGACTGATGGCCTGAGTTAGCAGCCAACCTACCTCCACATCTGTCCTTATGTCTGTCCCCACCTCAGGGGCTCTTCCTAAAGTCCCCAGGTCTCGTCTGCGTGGGATCGTGAAGGTAGAGCATCACTGATGGTATGGCTGCGGTTGGAGAAGCTGGACCTCTTGCTGCTTCGGCTGGCTTTTGCTTTCTAGCCCTGCGGATGGGAATCCAAAGGGGAAAAGCAGTTTAGCAAAGATTTCCAAAAAAATTATCAGTGTGGCGCCTGAGCGACGTGGGTACTGGGCTGATAGCGCTCTGTGGTTTTAACCTTGTATGACTACTTTATTTTAGAAGATCAAGAACAGCCAACGTGCTGGAAATGTTTTCTCCTAAACAGTCCCTTCATTTTAGCAAATACCCGTTTCCTTTCTTCAGCTGTTTCCAAAGGCGAGGAATTGAGCTTGTAATAAAAATGGAGAATCGAAGCCTCTCTTGAACATCCTGGAAATGCTAAATTTGGCATCAGCCTTTGCCAAACGTGAAGATGGGCTTGCAGTCGTCTTGCAGACATTGCTGATAGTGTTGCCTTTGACTTTCACCCATTGAGTAGCAGAGGATGAAAGGCAAAGACTCAGTAAAACGTTATGGTTTTGGACGAAACCTCCTGTGATAAAGAAGCTGCCTGAAATGATGTGCCAAGAGGCAGGAAGAGTTTGGTGAATTTTTTTTAAATGTTTTTTTTTGGAGCTGAAAGGCTGAAGAATAGATCTTGGCAGCGCTGGCCTGGTGTGAGACGCCACTTCCCTTTTATTTTTCTTCAAGTCTGGTAATCGCACATTATTGCGGTAGCTGGTGAGATGGAAGCCAGGAAGCCTCTGGTTAAATAATCAGAGAAATAAAACTGTTCTGCAAAAGCTGTTTGCAGGTGAGATGGAGCTGAGGCTTGGCTGCAGGTAAAAAGCATGTCCTGAAAATGGCTGAGGACTGAAAGGGTGGGGAGTTGAAGGATGATGCTGGAAAGATGGGGGAGTGTTGGGATTTCGGGGTCTTGGTTGCTCAGCTGTCGGGATGCCCAGTTATCAGCACGTTGGGAGCCGGCATCATCCTGGTTGGCGATTTGTAGGGAACAGCCCTTGGCTTGCAACACAGTTCCTGTAGGACTCGGGCTAGACTTGAGCTTGGTCTGCTCCAAAGCAAGTTGGTGAGGGTGTTGAGGAGGAATCAGAACCTTGCTGGAAAGCCCTGTGCCGTGGAGAACCGGACCCTGTGCTGCAGCTCCGAAGCGTCCCCACGTGAATATAACCAACGGGTGTGTTGGCAGTGTGCATCGGATGTCTCGGGTCACTGCAGGCTTGTCCTCACATGG